GGAAGAGAACTCAAAGATAAACTAATTGAGTATAAGGCACTTGTTTAGAGACATAAGAGGACAATTTAGAATTGTTGTTCTGGATCCAGTTTAGAACAAGGCTTTTAATTTCTTTGTAACAATAACCTAAGTGACCACGGTATAGATCTGTTTGAAATAAGGAGCACCCAGTCCTGCAACTGCCACGCCCACCATCGGTTTGTGGGTCCACAGGATCTTCATCCCTGGTATGCTTTCCATATTGTATAATATTGTATTTATGTTTAGCATAGGCTAGGTTTAGATCATTCCTATTGTGATCAGGCCCAACAGATTTGATTGTTTTGGATAAATTATGCCCCCCCCCCTTCAAATTTTTTGTTAATTATAATTCACTCCTAAATCAGTGACTTATAATAGAATATATAGTTGGCCAAAAGAGTCCTAGACATCTTAATTGATGAGGAGAAACAAAGGAACAGAGTGCTGGTGATGCCATGTGTCATTCCAAATGCTGACACCAATTACACCACAAGTAACTGTTTTCTTCTCTTCATTTTATTATTCTAGGTAAGCTTATTCTCATTTATATTTTATATCTTATTATTAACTGTATATGTAATTGTTATCATTAATTTCATGTATCACCCTCTTAATATTAATATATTCCATATCAGGAATATATGGACTTTTAGGGATGAAATATGAAGATAGCTTTGTGACTGTGATGGTGCACTAAACTTAGTTCAGCGAGTACGCTAATGCTGATGTACTTTTGTGTTCAGATATATATATATATATCGCCAGGATATTGTTACTAAACAGTATAATGAATTAATGAGTTTTGCAAGTACATATAAGTGTGTACTATTTCAATGTTTTATTATCATGCGTTAGAAGGTATAGAATCAGTAGAAGAATAGGATGATTTGTATGATGTGAATGAACGTCTCATGAAATGGTAGTGTATGTGGATATATATACCCATTTCACAGCTAGTGGGTTAACATATATGCAAGCCTGTATAATGTAGCCACTTGCATAGACTTACTGTCGTGAAGTGTAAACATGGTACCCAAGTTGTGTATAGATTAGATGTAAATAGGACCTTTGTTCTAAGAGAGGGATTTATTCGCCTCTCTGATAAGCTACATCTAAACAGTTTGGTAAATAGAGTTTCTCTCCTCCACCAGCGATAGAAGTCTAATTAGGCGCAGACCCATTTAAAAGATGTAGTTTGTTATATTATATAATAGTGCAGTTATTGATTGATTAATAATCGAAGCACACATTTAATGAGTTTGATTATATATTATTATATTGTACATGTGTATTTTGTAACCATGATACTACAATAGAGCGACGAGCTTAGTAATTTATTAGTTATGTTAGAGAAGGCAACTTCAGTGGTCTAAATTGTAGAATAATTGAGAATTAGGCAAACCCAGCAGAAGTTTCGGCAAGATGCTTTATCTCACCAGTTTGGTAGAAATCAGTTTCTCTAAAGCTCATGCATATATTCGTTTATTAAATCTTAAGTTTATTTTCAGATGATTTATACAATCATTACATGTATTTAATTGTCCTTGTGGGTTTTGAGACAACGTAAAACTGTTATACATGTAGTTGTATATTTGTAGAATGTATAGTTTTATCTTGACTTATTATGTTGCGGATGCACCAGTAATTTGGAATTGCTTGGTTCTTAAAACGAAAGGATTATATATAGTAGAATATATTCTATGCTAAACCTTTAATAGATGAACAGATATATGAGTGCATCATATAGTTACCAGAATTGCAACACGTGTATTCAAAGATGGGATACTAAGTTAACTATTAATTGAATTTGTTAGAAATGGAATTCAACCTTATATTTTACCTGTGGTATTTAAGCCACGAAAGTTTAGTTAGAATTAACTAAAACTGTATTATTGTAAGCTGTTTATATACTTAGTTAGAAATTAGATTAGGTTTTGTTATGAGAGAAGATCTGGCTATTGCAGATCGATGTGATATAGTTTTAATGTATAAAACTGAAGCATGAACATGTGTTCATGATCGCCGTTGATATTTGATTACTCTTATTCATGATTATTCTTGCTTATTGCGATGGTATTAAGAGTAATAAAAGTAATTCTACATGCTGACACCAATTACACCACAAGTAACTGTTTTCTTCTCTTCATTTTATTATTCTAGCTCCCCTTCCCTGATAGGGGCGTTACACTATTTATATTGTTGTTTTGTTGTATTCTGTATTCTTTGTATTATTAAGCTATGTTTGTATTCTTTATTATGTATCATTATCATGATATGTACATGTGTTGTACTCTCATACCCCAGAAGGGGGTCGAATGAGTCAATAAATTCTATTCTATTCTATGAAACACATTTAAATGACAATTGCAGACCTTTTAGTTGCTTTCCTTGACGGTATTTTCAGACTTGGTTAAAGATTCATTGATGACATTTCAAAATTGTGATGGAATAGGGTTAGACATCTATACAATAATTTGCTGAATTGTTTGAAATATTTGCTTATTAATGCTTTTTTTTAAATGTGCAATTCACAATTCTTTTCTTTATTTCTTTCACCCCCCCCCCCTTCTCTTTCTCCATAATAGTGCTCGACCACCAGCACCAAAAAACTGAGGGTGAAGTGCAAAAAACTACCCCAACATAATGAGCATCCAATCCCGCTACTACCAGACACATCATCCGTTAGTGTGTCAGCTGGATAATCATCCCTGGTATGTAACGCATTTAAATGGCAATTGCAGCCCTTTTAGCTCCTTTCTTTGACGGGTAATGTTAGACTTGTTCAGAATTTCATCAATGTCATTTTAAAACTGTGATGGAATAGTGTTAGACATCTATACAATAATTTGCTGAATTGTCTGAAATACTTGCTTATTGGTGTTATTTTTTAAATGTGCAACTCTGTTATTATGGGTCAAATTGTTTCACAATTCATTTCTTGATGTCTTTCATCCCCTCTCCTCTCTTTCTCCATGATAGTTCTGCAGTACCAGCGATCAAGCGGCGAGGGTAAAATTCACCCAGGAAGAGAAGGAGGCAGTCCAGAAGCTTTTCCAGAGCTGGATAGAAAAGGGTGACATGCCTCGCATAGGCGTGGTGAGGGACATAGTTAAACAAAATAAAAAAGTAGCACGTTGCCTCTCTAACCGATCATTTCTCCAAGTGAGGGACAGAGTCCGCAATGCAATAAAAGCTCAAACAAAATCTACGTCTATGTAGATCATCAACTATTTCATTCATCTTTCTTTTTTCTCAGTTGCTTTCTTAATGTAATATCCCTCACAACGCCTATGCAAGGCATGTCACCTTTTTCTATCCAGCTGTTGATATTCTAATGAAATGTTTAAGAAATGGCAGTGCACACTTGTCAGTAAGTCTGAATGTTTTGTTAAAGTAGTTTTCGTGATTCTTCTTTCTATTCTTGTTCTTTTACTTTTTACATGATTATGATATGCTTTTTATGAATATGAAGGTACAATTGTATCAATAAAAACCTTCAATTGTCATTAATAAAACACTTTGAGCAGGACATAGGAGATAGTTTTGTATTATGTCCGAACTAAATATGAGTTGAGTCAAATCAAAAAATCATAATTATCTACATTGGACGTAAAAATGATTGAGTTATGGCATTTTTGAACTTTTGTATTGTTTCATGAAACAGTTATATGCATAACATGGGCTGTATTTCGATTAGTGACATGCCGCACTGTCATATGCTCGATTTTCCTTATGTGTATTATATTAAATATATATTCCTGTACACTATTAACATATTTTTAAAAAGAATACCCGTTTTACCGGTCCTAAGCTTTGGAACGATTTACCTTAAACTATGAGGAAATCTGTACTTCTATTGGAAGCTTTAAAAAATGTATAATTTTAAATTACAGTGCATAAGTATTAGCCCTATACCCGATGAGGCTGACGAGTGTGTGTGTGTATATTGTATAAGGGGATGTGTATATAACCCAATTATATTGTACTGGCACCATGAAAGCTCTCGTGTTATAAACAGCTTCGCGGGACTCGAACCCACCCAAGTAAAATAAAAAAGAGTTTACAACACACATGAAGCTATATATTAAAGTTAATTAATAATAGCAGTTTGTGTCATATATATTTAAAAGAATTTGCACTTTAGGAATGCAAAAGATTAAATGTATTTTCTTACACCGTAACGAACGTTTCACATCATTGCTTGTAATTCCAGTCCTTAATTTCAATTTCACAGTATGAAATATGAGATAAAATGCACTTGAGAGAGAGAGAGAGAGAGAGAGAGAACAAAAACACAGGGAAAGTTAAAATTGAGATAGTGAGTGAAACTAATATGATGGAAAGTGGCAGTTGAGATAGAGAATGCAATAAAAGGGGGGAAATGATAATAAAGACAGAGAAAGTGGGGAATGGAGATAGAAAGAGGGAACATGATGAGGGAAAGTGGAAGTGGAAGTAGAAGTAGTAAGGAAGAGCAGGTAGGGTAGTATGAAATATGAGATGAAATGCACTTGAGAGAGAGAGAGAGAGAGAGAGAACAAAAACACAGGGAAAGTTAAAATTGAGATAGTGAGTGAAACCAATATGATGGAAAGTGGCAGTTGAGATAGAGAATGCAATAGAAAGGGGGAGGGTGATAATAAAGACAGAGAACGTGGAGATGGTTATAGAAAGAGGGAACATGATGAGGGAAAGTGGAAGTAGAAGTAGTAAGGAAGAGCAGGTAGGGTGGTAGCAGAGGTAGTAATAAAAGTAAGGAAGAGCATTGTCCATTCAGGAGAGAGAAAGAAAGACAGATGAGGGAGGGTAAGAAATATTAAGATATTTAATGATTGACAGATCCGGCGAGAATGAAAGAGGGAGGGGAGTGAGGGAGAATGGGTAGGGTGGTAGTAGAGGTAGTAGAAGTAGTAAGGAAGAGCAGGTAGGGTGGTAGTAGAGGTAGTAATAGAAGTAGGGAAGAGCATTGTCCATTCAGGAGAGAGAAAGAAAGACAGATGAGGGAGGGTAAGAAATATTAAGATATTTAATGATTGACAGATCTGGTGAGAATGGAAGAGGAAGGGGAGCAAGGGAGAACGGATAGTGTGGTAGTGGAGGTAGTAGAAGTAGTAAAGAAGAACAGATAGGTTGGTAGTAGAGGTGATGTCCACACGGTCATTTTACCTGATGGTCAGGTCCTTGTCCATTGCCCTTTGTTGTAGGCATACCGCCGCCCTCTTCATGTGTTCCTCGCTGGTCTGCAAAGTTACAAAAGAACAAGATTATGTAATAAATACAAGTTCATTTAAAGTTCACTCAGGCATTTCAACCATTATGACAAGAAGAGAAATTGATGAACATGTTCTTTACTGTCTATTGACCACAACTTAAGCATACTATTTTAGAGTAAATTTGGGAAAAAAACAAAAATGTAATGAATACCAGGCTGGTGGCTAACCTCTTGAGATATCGATTTAAAAGTGGCTATGTGCCTGTCGAAGCTAGAGGCATTGACTGTTGGGGTTGTACCCAGGATGGTCAGCAAGTTTCTTAAGCCTTCAACTGCCAAACCACCAACCTCCGTTGGTCAGAGTAGTCCTAGGGTTTATTTCTGCAGATTTTCCAGGTCCTTTGCATGAATTTTCTGAGGAAAACAATATGAGGAAAAGTGACATTTGAGATAGAGAATGCAATATGAGGGACAATGACAATTGAGAAGGAAATGAAGACACGATAAAAGAAAGAGGAGATTGTGATAGCAAGAAGGAACACAAACAGCATGTTTCTATTAGTTTTAATGAAATTATCCGTTTCATTTGTTTTCCGGAAAATAGCATATAGTACCAGGGAATGGGCAGTTTCTATCTACGCGTATTATCCGGATAAATACACTGCTCCGATTTAGTGGGTTAAAAGGTTGTGAATAAGTTTGCATCGATCATGCCTAAGGCACCGCAAAGTAATGTGGGACTGCTAGGTCCACCTGGGATTTTAGTGGCGAGGTAAAATATTCCGATCACGTGATTACTCTGATTTCAGGTGTCACTCTGTTACATGTACTCAATCGGAACGGCGTGAGTTTCTGCTAGGCCTACTTAGCTTTGGCCTAAGTAGTAGGCTTAGTCTCCACTCATTTCTAATGAATTGACCACTAGAAACATCAAATTGGGTAGAACAAAGAATTGAAGCACAATAAGGGGGAGGAGGGGGGGGGGGGGAATTAGAAAATGTCCTATGTTTAGTGACGCTGACAACTTTTATGCACCATAACAGCAATCAGAGATCTTTTTTGAATTTTTCCTTGTATATGCTAGGTCAGGACGGCTGTTTTATGTCTTTACATTTCATGTGTAAATGTCAATGCCAACAAATGCGACATCAAAAAAATAAGGGGGGGGGGGGTGGATCTTCAACATGTCGATGCTATACGGATGCTGAACATGAACATTCTGTATTCGCGCATTAACGTAGCCTTCATATGCCTTTTTTGAATTTTTCCTTGCAAATACTAGGACAGGAAAGCTATCTTTATTATCGTACATGTCTTTGCATTTGATATGTGAAGTGTCAATGCCAACAAATGAGAAATACAAAATATAAGGGGGGTGAATCTTAAACATGCATGCTGGTGGTGTGCAGATGCTGCGATAATCATGGACAATCAGTATTCGCACAATAATGCAACAAACCGAGGCTTATTTTTGATTTTCCCTTGCATATGCTAGGTCAGGAAAGCTCTTTTTATTATCGTGCATGTCTTTGCATTCTATATGTGAACTGTCAATGCCAACAAATGAGAAATACAAAAAATAAGGGGGGTGAATCTTAAACATGCATGCTGGTGGTTTACAGATGCTGCGATAATCATGGACAATCAGTATTCGCACAATAATGCAACAAACCGAGGCTTATTTTTGATTTTCCCTTGCATATGCTAGGTCAGGAAATCTCTTTTTATTATCGTGCATGTCTTTGCATTCTATATGTGAACTGTCAATGCCAACAAATGAGAAATACAAAAAATAAGGGGGGTGAATCTTAAACCTGCAGGTGCTGTACTGATGCTGCGATAATCATTGACAATCAGTATTCGCACAATAATGCAACAAAACGAGGCTTATTTTTAATTTTCCCTTGCACATGCTAGGTCAGGAAAGCTCTCTTTATTATCGTGCATGTCTTTGCATTCTGTATGTGCAGTATCAATGCCAAGAAATGAGAAATACAAAAAATAAGCCTAGAAGTTAGAACATGCCGATACTGTACGTGAAGCTGCGATATCATGGGCATTCAGTATTAGCACAATAACACAATAAAGTGTAGTCCTACTTACCTTATGGCTTAATGCAATTATTCTTTTGGGCATCTAACAAGTAGACTAATTGATATAAGATCTATATGCTTCACAGTCAGAGTCATACCAGGCAGAGGCCTAATGCCAGGCCTGGAGTTTCGGCCGACAGCCTACCTGTGTTTAGGGGGGAGTGCTTGTTGTTCACGCAAAGTTGCATATCTCACAAAGTTGTGTACAATTTCATGACCTATCGAGAGAAAGTGGATTGATTAAAGTCTAAATTAGTATAAATGGACAGTCAGATAAATATAGGGCACAATACATTTAAAAACTCACCATTTAAATGAATAATAAGAGCTGACTGCCCGCTGGAATGAATCTACTTTTGTTTGTTTAGTTTCTACTGTTACTTTGATTCGTTTGTTATTGTGTGAAGCTCCCTCTACGTGAGAAAAGTACCAATGGCGGGAATTGATGGGAAAAATTAATTTTTGTATCACTTTTTAAGGAAAAAGCATAACAATTAATAAAAAACCAATTGCAGGAAAGTAGGCCTGGATTATCAAAGATCAATTTGAGTATGGTATATTCTGTGGCTTCAATGTAAAAATGTTTTTTTAAAGAACTTTTGTAGAGCACCTATTTTTTGGCCTACACTGTACAAACCTATGGTGAATATTAGATTTTTCGTATTTCGGGGGATATTTTTGTTTGCTAATATTTTGGTTTTATGATTAAAAAATAAGAAACGAATGAATATTTAATGTTAAAAAGGGTTTAAATGTTAAAATTAAAGCAGCCCCCAAGTCATATCTTCAAATTTCAGCCCCAAAAGACTAATTGAAAATTTGCAAAAAAGCGTATTTCGAGAAATACCGTCCTAAACTTTTTTTTTAAATTGCTTGTAATTAATTAAATAATTAACCAATTTTGCTAATTTTTTCAGGATATGCTCATGATAAGATGCACTAAGCAGTGCATATTTTATTTAAATTTATAAGGGCCTCGATTAGTCTGACCTTTTCATCACCTCAAACAAAAATTCATCTAGTCAATTGTTAAACTCAGTTTTACTTCATTTTTTGGAGAAATGAATAAATCATTTTTTAAAGTGCTAGTTTAAAGAAAAAAACCATCAGGGCTTAGGAGTTAGTGGCCCCAACCGCTATCTAGCAAAATCCTTGAGTTTAATAGGGGTATTGAACCCTATGAACCAGCAAAGGTACCAAAGGGTAAGTACATTTTACTAAAGTACCATTTTCAACACTTTTCCATATTTGAAATTTAAAAAGCGGATCTGTGAAGATTAAGCAACTAAATAGCTTTCATTTAAAAAAAAAATGAACAAAATCGATGAAGAATTGAGTGAGCTAATGACATTTTCCAAAACAGTGTGTAGGACATACACCGGCCCCCAAAAGTTACACCGAGGCACCTTTAGAGTTCAAGGTCAATTTAATTACCGGACGAGCATTATTCCGCCGCGATACTCATGTTAGATGAAAGCCCAACTATCTAAGAGTCCACCTTAAAAAACCCGAAGGAAATCGACCAAGGATAACTAAACTAGAAGCAATTATAAAAAAAAAGACTGATTCTATGAATCTAATTAGGGTTAGGGTTAGGGTTAGGGTTAGGGTTAGGGTTAGGGTTAGGGTTAGGGTTAGGGTTAGGGTTAGGGTTAGGGTTAGGGTTAGGGTTAGGGTTAGGGTTAGGGTTAGGGTTAGGGTTAGGGTTAGGGTTAGGGTTAGGGTTAGGGTTAGGGTTAGGGTTAGGGTTAGGGTTAGGGTTAGGGTTAGGGTTAGGGTTAGGGTTAGGGTTAGGGTTAGGGTTAGGGTTAGGGTTAGGGTTAGGGTTAGGGTTAGGGTTAGGGTTAGGGTTAGGGTTAGGGTTAGGGTTAGGGTTAGGGTTAGGGTTAGGGTTAGGGTTAGGGTTAGGGTTAGGGTTAGGGTTAGGGTTAGGGTTAGGGTTAGGGTTAGGGTTAGGGTTAGGGTTAGGGTTAGGGTTAGGGTTAGGGTTAGGGTTAGGGTTAGGGTTAGGGTTAGGGTTAGGGTTAGGGTTAGGGTTAGGGTTAGGGTTAGGGTTAGGGTTAGGGTTAGGGTTAGGGTTAGGGTTAGGGTTAGGGTTAGGGTTAGGGTTAGGGTTAGGGTTAGGGTTAGGGTTAGGGTTAGGGTTAGGGTTAGGGTTAGGGTTAGGGTTAGGGTTAGGGTTAGGGTTAGGGTTAGGGTTAGGGTTAGGGTTAGGGTTAGGGTTAGGGTTAGGGTTAGGGTTAGGGTTAGGGTTAGGGTTAGGGTTAGGGTTAGGGTTAGGGTTAGGGTTAGGGTTAGGGTTAGGGTTAGGGTTAGGGTTAGGGTTAGGGTTAGGGTTAGGGTTAGGGTTAGGGTTAGGGTTAGGGTTAGGGTTAGGGTTAGGGTTAGGGTTAGGGTTAGGGTTAGGGTTAGGGTTAGGGTTAGGGTTAGGGTTAGGGTTAGGGTTAGGGTTAGGGTTAGGGTTAGGGTTAGGGTTAGGGTTAGGGTTAGGGTTAGGGTTAGGGTTAGGGTTAGGGTTAGGGTTAGGGTTAGGGTTAGGGTTAGGGTTAGGGTTAGGGTTAGGGTTAGGGTTAGGGTTAGGGTTAGGGTTAGGGTTAGGGTTAGGGTTAGGGTTAGGGTTAGGGTTAGGGTTAGGGTTAGGGTTAGGGTTAGGGTTAGGGTTAGGGTTAGGGTTAGGGTTAGGGTTAGGGTTAGGGTTAGGGTTAGGGTTAGGGTTAGGGTTAGGGTTAGGGTTAGGGTTAGGGTTAGGGTTAGGGTTAGGGTTAGGGTTAGGGTTAGGGTTAGGGTTAGGGTTAGGGTTAGGGTTAGGGTTAGGGTTAGGGTTAGGGTTAGGGTTAGGGTTAGGGTTAGGGTTAGGGTTAGGGTTAGGGTTAGGGTTAGGGTTAGGGTTAGGGTTAGGGTTAGGGTTAGGGTTAGGGTTAGGGTTAGGGTTAGGGTTAGGGTTAGGGTTAGGGTTAGGGTTAGGGTTAGGGTTAGGGTTAGGGTTAGGGTTAGGGTTAGGGTTAGGGTTAGGGTTAGGGTTAGGGTTAGGGTTAGGGTTAGGGTTAGGGTTAGGGTTAGGGTTAGGGTTAGGGTTAGGGTTAGGGTTAGGGTTAGGGTTAGGGTTAGGGTTAGGGTTAGGGTTAGGGTTAGGGTTAGGGTTAGGGTTAGGGTTAGGGTTAGGGTTAGGGTTAGGGTTAGGGTTAGGGTTAGGGTTAGGGTTAGGGTTAGGGTTAGGGTTAGGGTTAGGTTAGGGTTAGGGTTAGGGTTAGGTTAGGGTTAGGGTTAGGGTTAGGGTTAGGGTTAGGGTTAGGGTTAGGGTTAGGGTTAGGGTTAGGGTTAGGGTTAGGGTTAGGGTTAGGGTTAGGGTTAGGGTTAGGGTTAGGGTTTAGGGTTAGGGTTAGGGTTAGGGTTAGGGTTAGGGTTAGGGTTAGGGTTAGGGTTAGGGTTAGGGTTAGGGTAGGGGTTAGGGGTTAGGGTTAGGGTTAGGGTTAGGGTTAGGGTAGGGTTAGGGTTTAGGGTTAGGGTTAGGGTTAGGGTTAGGGTTAGGGTTAGGGTTAGGGTTAGGGTTAGGGTTAGGGTTAGGGTTAGGGTTAGGGTTAGGGTTAGGGTTAGGGTTAGGTTAGGGTTAGGGTTAGGGTTAGGGTAAGGGTTAGGGTTAGGGTTAGGGTTAGGGTTAGGGGTTAGGGTTAGGGTTAGGGTAGGTTAGGGTTAGGGTTAGGGTTAGGGTTAGGGTTAGGGTTAGGGTTAGGGTTAGGGTTAGGGTGGAGGGTTAGGGTTAGGGTTAGGGTTAGGTTAGGAGGTTAGGGTTAGGGTTAGGGTTAGGGAGGATTTAGGGTTAGGGTTAGGGTTAGGGTTAGGTTAGGGTTAGGGTTAGGGTTAG